TGCGCCTGCAACGCATGGTTGAAAAGGACTATACCAGCCAGACGACAGTGAGCGTCTCTAGGCCTCTCTCACTGCTGTCTGACTGGTACAGTCCTTTTCAACCATGCGTTGCAGCCAGTTATCTGTTCCAGACCCTCAATTGAATTGAAAATAATTTAATTCTTATATAAAACAATTTTTAATAATATATTTTATTTCTTATAAAGAATTTTATCAACATTTCTGAAATAAATAATTACATTTTTTCGAATTTATTAAAATTTTTTTTTAAATAATTGAATTCTTTAGATAAATTCTATAAAAAATTGTCTTGAAAATAATTGAATTTTTCCGAAGATTATTATTACAATTTTTTTAAATAATTAGATTTGTCAAGGAGTTTTATTAAGATTTTCAAAAATTTTAATATTCTTTAAAAAAATTGAATGCTTTTGAAGAATTTTATTATTTATTGAAAATAATTGAATTCTTTCAAGGAATTTTATTAAATTTTCTGAAAATAATTGAATTTATCCGAAGATTATTATTAAGATGTTTTTAAATTATTGAAATTTTTATAAAAAATATTTTTTATTTAAAAAGTAAAGAATATTATTACTCATAAAAATAATTGAATTTTATAGAGAAATATTTAATTAAGAATGTATTAAAAATAATTATACCGAATATAATTCTAATCATGTATCCTCGATTTTAAAGGAAGGATTGTATTAAATTTCCTCTACTTTTGTATTACAAAGAAAAAAAATGATTTTCTAGCAGGTATAACAACAGCGACTATTTACTAATTTACCTCTAACCTCTATAATATTTGGTCCAGTAGACGCTAGCAGGCACGTACGGTGCGACAGAAGAGAAATAAAGCCCTAAATGGCTGACGCCGGGGGGTCCTTGCAAGTTTACTTAACACAGGGAGCTTAACATTAACTGACGATTAACTTTTTAAAAGCCCAGGTAGATAAATGAAACGCCTCCTGAAACTAAAAAATGGCCTGACCCAAAGACCTGCTGCCCTGCTGGAGGTGCATGGTGGTGAGCCACACTTTTCTTTAATAGACCGTAAAATCCGACAATATAAACAACCTGCTTCTGCTTCTCCTTCTTATTCATTCCAAAGACTCTATATACACACAACATTTGTTTAAAAAGTCCCTAAAAGTAATTGGGCTTGACAACTTCCGGCTTTCGTTCCATAACGAGATTATTATATTCTTAAAATAAGAGACGACAGTTCGTTAATTAACTGTTTTGTTAGTCCACACGATTTCTTATTTTAAAAACATTTTCTTTAATATTCATATTCTTATTCCCAAAATATTTCAAATCTATTTTTTGGTTTCAGAACCTTTCTATAGAATTCATAGAATATGAAATTTTTAAAATTTAAGCCTTAGGTCGATATTATAACCTATTTTGATGTCGTACATTTTTTATATATATTAGTTATTTTACTTTTTTAATACATTGTTTTTATTATAGAATAGAAATTCCTGAACGTCTGATTGGACAAGAAGATGAATTTTGTTCGTGTATATTATATATATCTTTCGATATGTGTATACGAGATCAACGAGAGTCAAATTATGATTAGGGCTACTGTTAATTGGCGCGTGTTGACTCAACTGAGTGGCAGCTCGAGGGCAAACACACCCGTTTTAGTTCCCTTTTGTTATTTTTTCCATGAGGCCACAATTCAAGGCAATGACTTTCCGATTAGCTGCGTCAAAATACGCGAGGATGCTGCAAATTCATACGCGACGATTTCAATTTTTTTATTCCTATATGCGCAATCGGATTTTGAATCTTTCTTCACCGTACATAACCTCGATAATACTCACAATGACTTATCTTCAAAAATTTTTTGATGAAATTCTTTAAAAGAATTCAATTATATTTTCAATATACAATTTTAATTGAATTTCTCAAAATTAAATTATTTTTTAAAATTTTGAAAAAAATTCTTTATTAGAATTCGATTACTTTCAATAAAATTGGAATTGAATTCCTCGAATGAAAGTATATTATCAATATATAATTTTAATTAAATTCCACGAGAGGATTCAATTATATTTAAAAATTTTAATAAAGTTCTTCGAACCGCAATTAAATCATTTAAGATTCAAATTTTGAATGGACCCTGTCAATTTTCCATAGAAATATCCATGAGGTAAAAAAATTTACAGATTTATTTCCCACTCAAAAGGTATAATATTCCTAAAATAAAAGAAAAAGAAGTGATAAAATAATTATTTTGATAAAAGCGATAATCTTATTCCAAAATGGTATTTGAGAGAAGAGAAAAAGAGAATTGTTGTTCTAAACGAAAATGTGTCTCGGAAGCTGTAAATGCGGCAATGATTTGATTTGTATAAAATTGAGAATCGAAGGGGGGATTTCGAAATGTATATAAAGGGGGATGAAGTTTTATGTATGTATCGAAAGATACGTCTATATAAAATGTGAAAGTTCGAGGAAGCTGAGGAAGAACCTGGGGAGGACTCTGTTATTTCAAGAAAGAAGGACCATCCGTCGGACTGTTCGTTCGTTTGTCCGCTGCCTCGTAGCAATGCGCTGAGTAAACATCAGTTGGATGAGATGTCGATGTGCACGAACAAGAGAGGGAGTGAAAATGAGAAAGAATATCAAAGAAGAATGAATTTCAAAACCTACATTTTCATTTCTGTCAAAGCCTATGTTATATCGTCCAGAGAGAAAAAAATATTAACAGTTTTCCAAAAATCCGCATTTGAACAAAAATTATATTTTCGAACCATGCAAAACCAATACGAGAACCAAAATTAAAAAACGAAATGCGCTGGTAAATTCTAATAGAAACTAGACCTAATACACAGAAAAGTAAATCTTAATTTAAGATCAATCTTAACCTATTAATGATGGGTCCATCATCACAGAAACAAAAATATCAAAATAGTAACTATTGGGATAAAACCAATCCCAATAGTTACTTTTTTGATATCTGGGGATCAATCCAAATTTTTATCAATTTGATCCGTCTTCGTATCGATTTGATACATTCAAGAAAACAGCAAATCCATTTCGTAAATTCAGCGTTACTATAAAAAATGATAGTTAATCGACACCTAATGATATGATAATTGTATTATATAAATAATAATAATAATAATAATAATAATAGATACGGAGAGGCGATGGATTTGGCCGAAGGCGTCTTGACTATTAAAGGACGATAAATCTTGGGATTAGTTGGCTCGTTATTTATGCGTTGTCAGTCGCGTGTTCTGAGTAGCTGTTATCCTGTGTTCGACAGCGGGGCAGAGGGCTAAAGTGGACGATTGATCAAGTTAGCGTAACGTCATTACGCGACCGCATCGGGGACTATCGCCCTCATCCCTAAAATATACAATATATGTAACCACCATCAAGGCCAATTTCTCTCCTCTATACATGAACATTTATACTAAAACATCACACCCACCTTCTTTCTATTATCAAATCGTCTAAACAACTCTCGACAAAAGTTTCATCGCGCTTCGTTTAACGCTTTCTTTCATCGTCGACCCTTTGAAACAATCTCTTATTCCAGGCCGTTCAAATGATGTGTAATTGCTTTTGCGGTTCTCATCTCTTTTTGCATTCTCATTTCAATGATATGTTTCAAAATTTGCAACATCACTATGTTAACTTGAAAGTATTAAGTTGCAACGAATTATAAAAAAAAAATTACCAAAAATGTGGATCAAATCATAAATTGATCTCTGAAGAACAATGATTATACTTATAAATTTTTTTGCTTATGATTTTTGAGGATTTGTTTTTTCTACATAAAAAAGCGCTTTTACAGCAATTGAACGCGATTAGGGTATTTGAGTGTGTGGATCGGATCAGCATCTGCTTATGACGGGACCATATATGTATGCTGTAATCTCGCACATTATGCGAGATTCACAGGGGCGTTATGATCGTTTTAGCTTGTCGGTACATAACTGAGAAAACAATGCCCGAAGTGTCACACGTTCAAATCTCTCTCTGTCTCTCTGCTTTAGCGCTTTTCGTACCCTTTTCAAACAAATCAAAAATACATTGTGCTTAAGCAAAAAATTAAATTGTCAAGAAAACTTCCATATGAAATTATATTTATAAAGTAAACTTTATATTTTTCTACATTAAGGATATAAAAATGATTTATATTTGCCAAAAAAAAAAGAATCAAAAGTGTTGCGATCATTTTTTTGTCAAATATAATCCATAGGTGATGAAAAATAGAATATATTTTGATGCGTTTTTTCCTCAAGTGCACTAGTAATCGTTAAACTCGAGAGGAAGATTGTAAGATCTGCGGGGGTCCATATGTTGCACTTTAACCTACACGGTCGAGTGGATGTAGCCCACTGGTATACATGTACTCTAAAGAATCATAAAGTATATAGTAATCTCAGTGAATGTCTTTATGTATTGTGGCTCTTTTGTCGATTGAATGCAATGAAAGCCCTTCAAGGGAACAAGGGGCCCCGATTAGCGAACCATGAATCGAGAGGACTATATACTTTATATATATAAAAGTGTCGCGTATAAGGTCTTTTTGGGCATTTGCCTCCGCCACAAAATTTTAATCTCCAATTCTTCATATATATTTAATCTCACACTTTCTCGGGTTTACCGCGCTTATATATAAATAAGCTTTTCGACACCTGAGAAAATAATGCAAACTTATTTACATTCTCTAGATTATATTAAATTAATTAATAATATTTATATTACTTCCTAATTCCTAAATTTAAAAAGTTATATTTTATAATCACTTTATTAAAACAAGAAGGTGACTAATTTTACTTTTTAACCCCTTAACTGCCATGGTAAAGATTTGTCGAAAGATTTGGCCAAAATCTTTGCCATGGCAGTTTTAAGGGGTTAATATAATTTTAAAAATAGTTTGAGTCGATCTAAAGAAAGAAATAATATTAAATAATATAATCCTCTTATTGTACAAAATTTATTTATTTTGTCTTCTCTGGTTGCAGGTGAAAATTTGGTTTCAAAATCATCGGTATAAGTGTAAACGACAAGCAAAGGAGAAAGCCATGGCCGAACAGAACGCACAAAATCAGGTAAGTCCTCTAATTTTAGTAAAACTTTGTATTATTAAATCTTTAGGGAAATAGTTTATATAAATTCAGTCACAATTTTAAAACAAAAGTTTCAAATTTTTTAACCATACCCAACGGGAAGTTGCCAATGTTAACGATTGGTTCAATAATGGGCCATGCTTGGTACCCAATGGTTTTTTCTTGGCAAAACAATTGGCAACCATCATTGGACCACCAATGGTTTAAACTTGGGATGATCACGCTACTGCCAATGATCGGTAGCCAAGCATCGGGCCAATATTATTTGCCAAGGAATTGCCAAGGAAACAAAATCGATTTTCAAAAGCTTGATTTTTTTATTGGCAGCCAACAAAAAACCAAGGTTTTGAAAATTGATTTTTCTTAATTATTAATTAAAATTTATTTTTCAAAAATATATTTTTCAAAAAATTATTTAAAAAAAATATATTTTTTAAAAATATATATTTTTTTAAATTAATAGAACATATTAATTTAATTTGTCACCTCTGGTAAAACAAAGATGAAAGACTGATAAATTCCCTCACTTTATATTTTACAGTGGAGGGATGACTGTGAATGTCTTTGCGAGAGAGGAGCAGGTACTTATATAGAGCCAGTGAGAAAGGTCACAAGCGAGAACAAATCACTAGCATGCACTCTGGCGGCGCTTGTCGGAAGTGGCGCAATGTTGGTTGCCAAGCGCTGTGTCGATAATGTCAGGATATGCATGCGCGCCAGAAAACAGTTCCGACAAGCGCCGCCAGAGTGCATGCTAGTGATTTCTTCTCGCTTGTGACCTGTTTCACTGGCTCTATATAAGTACCTGCTCCTCTCTCGCAAAGACATTCACAGTCATCCCTCCACTGTAAAATATAAAGTGAGGGAATTTATCAGTCTTTCATCTTTGTTTTACCAGAGGTGACAAATTAAATTAATATGTTCTATTAATTTAAAAAAATATATATTTTTAAAAAATATATTTTTTTTAAATAATTTTTTGAAAAATATATTTTTGAAAAATAAATTTTAATTAATAATTAAGAAAAATCAATTTTCAAAACCTTGGTTTTTTGTTGGCTGCCAATAAAAAATCAAGCTTTTGAAAATCGATTTTGTTTCCTTGGCAATTCCTTGTCAACTAATATTGGCCCGATGCTTGGCTACCGATCATTGGCAGTAGCGTGATCATCCCAAGTTTAAACCATTGGTGGTCCAATGATGGTTGCCATTAATGTTCCAATAATGGAACGGAGTTCGCCAAGCATGGCCCATTATTGAACCAATCGTTTACTTCCCATTGGGTAGTAAAAATTTAAAGAGTAATAAAAAAATTGATTTTGCAATAATTACATATGTATATGGGTAGGAAAAAGCGTGCCCTGTCTTGATCTAAGAGGCGTCGATGAGAAGATTTATTCACCCGAGTTTTTAAAAAAAAAGTGTACATAGTATGCTGAAATCTAACGAAAGACATGATTGTTCCGATATATCTGCTTGCAGATGTCCTCAAATATATTGCCGAGCACGTATGCCGACGCGCTCAATTGTGAAAGCGCGTCGACATATATACTTTTGAATTTTAAAACGAATTCACGTTTATTATTAAAAGAAAGCAGGTTTCTTCACTTGTATATTCACTATATAGAAAAATATATCCTTTCAGTTTGTTTCTTTTAATTTGCCGCCAAAATTGTAGTGAAACTGTTTTATTAATGGTCGATAAAACAGTTTCACTATTTGTTAGTAAAATTATTACTAAATCATTTGGTGAACGACTTTTTGCCATTTCATTAGTAACTTTTTACTAATTTCGATTTAAAGAGTAGAATGAACCAAAAACTATATCAAAACTATGGCAACGATTTGATAACAAAAGTAGATCAAATTATATAAATATTGATACAAAGGCATATCAATAGATACTTTTAAAATAATTCCATATTCATCCGATCGCACTTTTAAAAACTTACCCCCATGGGAATAAAAATTAAAACTTCTCTAATATCCCATTTTATACAAATTACTTTCGGCAGAAAGATTCAATTTAAAAATTTATTCAAGTTTCATAAAAAAGAATGATAAATAGCCACTTGAAAAAAGATATAAGAGTTGAAGGCATTTTTATTTATATATATACATCAGGCACACATTAAGACACATATAATAAAGATAAAATAGTTATAGAATGTAGTAGAGAATAGATGAGTCTATAATGTTTAAAATGTATTGAGTGTTAAGCGGAGCAAAACTGTTATTATCGATGTCGATCAACGGAGGTAATGGCGTAACAATGAGCTCGACATTGTCGCGGTGCAAGCAATACGTAAACAGCATACACAGCATTAATGGAGCTGAAAGTAATCTGTTACCCTGATCAGCGTCCCCTTCGTGCTCGAGCGAGCAGCCGCCCCATAATTTACTCGTTAGCTAAAATATATCTCACAAGAGTCCCGGTAGACCCTATAGTAGTGGGCTTCCATTTTCGGTACTACTGCCTCATCGATTTCAATTCAATTCACCAGCGTTTGTTTACTCTCTCTTATTCCTTTACAGCCAATGCTGATCCGAAATCTCTGATATACCCCATCAGGTTTATTGACCGGAATTTATCAAAATCCGATTTACTTTTCAATAGCTTCAATTTTTTTCTTCGAGTTTTCTTTCTATGCTCTGTCGGTAAATCTGCATTACCGGATAATTAAAATCTTAGTTCTTAAAATGAGACGGGAAATTTGAATTTATCTCTTTGCTTATTTATTCTCTTTGACAATTTTGAATATAATTACTATAGGGGCCAATGAAAAAAATAACTAACTCTTTTTTTAAATTGTACCCCCCCCCCCTCCCCTGTTGCATACGTTAGCGCCATTTTTTCTGCTGATGTTACGTATTTTTTGAACGGTCCGATTAGTCCCCATCAAGCAACCAAATATTGTCATTTCAAATTTCGCGCCCGATCTACTTTACCGACAGAGCATAGATTGGAAACTCGAAGAATAAATCGAATACAAATTGTGCAATAAGTTTTGAAATTCGCGAAATAAAAATAGGATTAAGTTTATTTTTAGAATTTTTGTATGCGATATATAATTTTCTGGACTAGAGCCCTAACAAGACTCGTATATCTATGAACTATGGCCATTTTCGCCGGAAATGATTTAACGCGCGTGTTGAAGTGCGGATAAAGTGGCGTAACGCGTGACGCGCGCGAACCATCACACTTCTATGACCGGAATCATCTCATCTTTATCACTGTCAAGAGTGCACGGCCTCCACTTACATATATTGTATATAATTTCTATGTTCGTGCCACCGACAATTTCCTACAATCATCACACATCATTTTCAACATATTATTATATCTTTTCTCGCACCACCCATCATTCACTGTCGACAATGCGATGTTAAATTCAAATTTTGTTTCAGTTTTAATTTTATTTCGTATTTTATTATATTACTAGCAAATTATACGCATACGCAGAACGCGGTATTCATTTATTATTATTTTCGAAATATTTAGTAAAATTTCTTTAAAAAATTCAACTATTTTCAAAAATTTAAATAAAATCCACAATAATTTAATTGTTTTCATAAATAAGAAAATTCTCCGCAAGAATTAAAATATTTTCATAAATAATAAAACTCATTGCCGAATTTCAATTATTTTTTATTATTAATAATAAAAATTACTCTTTTAAGATGCAATATATATAAGAATAATAATTACTGTGAAAGCATATTTTAAGGTCTTTTTTCATTATTATAATTCACTTGCAAAAAGTAAATTTTGCAAGAAAAAGGAATGATTTTTTTTCGTTTCTCTTTTATTCTTAAGGGCAATTATCTGAATATCTTGGCTTTTCTTTTGTCTAAAGTCCTTGACAGTAAAGTCGAAGCGTTTAAGTTAATTACTTCAATCTTTGAAAAGAGTGCAGCTTTTTCTCACAGAAAATTCTTAGCGACGACTTTTAATTACAATTATTATTATAATTATTTTAATTACTATTCCGTCAATTTGTCTTCTTTCAGTATTGTCTATTTCGACTTGAGCACATATAATATAATATAGAATAATATAATATAATACAAAATGATATATAATACAATACAACAAAAAAATCATACTCTAAAGGCTAAAATTCAGTCAAAAGTGTCCGAAAATGAAATATATTTTTTACAGTGAATATAATACTATAAAGCATAATTAATAAAAATATTAATTATAAATAATCATTTTCTTCATTAACGATAAAAAACGATCCTAAAAATTCCCTATATTGCATTCACTTTTCGCTGTTTTATTTCCTTCACATTTTATTTATAATTTGTGATTTTTTTATAATGTGCATTATTTTAAAAATATATTTTTCAGAATATACACATAAAATTTGATTGTATGGAATTGTCGCATTTATATATAAATATACATATACATATATATTGCACACGAGATTAAATGTCGCTTAGATGGCAAAAGAAAATAAATGAAAAAAAAATGCAGAGAAAAAAAGAATGAAAAGAGAAGGAATAAAATCGGAGTAAGCGGCAACCGTGCTCAGATTTTTCTCCTTTTTCCTTCTATTCCATTTCCCCTTTCTGGAAGCAGAGAAAAAATTTCAAGTGCTGGAGCGAGCGAATTGGAGAGAGAAAGAGAGAAATAAGAGAGGTGAATATGGCAGGGGGAGTTGGGAAACAGCCTCTCGAGGACCAGTCGCCATCTTGCTTTTAAGTACAGTCAAGTACAGCACCTGGTGGCAAAACATATTTCTTTATTTTAATTATCGCTAATACAATTTATCTCGTTAAATTAATTTTTTCCAAAAGAAAATTGTCTTACGGAAAAAATTTATTTCTTTTTTGAGTGGGGAATTTTTTTATATATTTCGGTCAAAATTACAAGAAAAATATTATAATTATTATATAATTATAATTATATAAATATTTAATGAAAAATATTACAAATATTATGGTTTTATATTTTATATGTTTAGTAATAATTCATATATATGGAGCGCGCTCCGAAGAAAGGTCCCTGAATAGCGTCTATAAAACTATACTATATTTGAAGTTACTAATGGTAACAATAATAATAAAATTAATAATAACAAATAATAATTATTATTTACATATTGTTGATTATAATTGTTTGAACTAATACTTCAGTTAAATAATAACAAATTGTAATTTTTTATAATCAACGCAATTGCAATAACAAACAATAATAATTAACAAATAGTAACAGACAATAATTAATAAATAATTAACAAAATTGTAATAATAAATAATAACAAATACTAATTGACAAATAACAGAATTGTTAATAATATAATAGTAACAATAAGTTGTAACTACCAAATAATAAAATTGTAATAAATAATAACAAACTATAATTAACAAATAACAACAAGAATGGTAACAATAAATAATAACAAATTATAATAACAATTCGTAGTTGACAATTAACAACAAATTCTAACAGAACCTTTCTTCGGAGCGTGATACGTATATTTAATTATTAGTAGAATATTAAAGAGAGAAAATTGTATTTTAATTTTTAAATATTAGTCTATTTTTTTTTTTTTTTTTTTTAAAGAGAAAAATTGCTGGCGCTCTCGAAATATCAGAAATAAATAAAAAACGAAATAGCACTCTCTCTGCAGGAGAAAATATAAAATATTCCTTTTGCAAGTTTGAAAAAATCCCTAAACGAATTTATTCCGCTCAAAAAAAAAAAAAAAAAAAAAACTCGCACAAAGTGCGCGGATGCGATGTTAATGTTTATATGCGAATTTTTTTTTCGAAATATTCCTCACTGATTTTCTCGAGTATAATATATATAAGTAATGGAAGGCTCGTGTCGCAATGCTTATTATTAAAGTGTCTCTTAAAGGAGATTTACATAGACATCTTGGAATGATTTTGAATAAATAGAAACGGCTACCGTACATACATATATATAGGTATACATGAAGCTTATCGAACCTTCGACCAACATTGACGATGAAGAGAACGTACCTCATCGTCGTCGTGGTCGTGGTCGTCGTTTCTCTCCGCGTACAAGATCGTATTAGTATTAGGCATGCCAAACAGAAGCTGAGCGTACCTGACAGGTCGACCACTCAGCTGTATCAACATTGAGTACACGACATTCCTCTCCTGAATTTCGCTTCACTGTCTTGATGTTTTAACTCAATACATGTCTATATATGTCTTCGAATTTATAAAAGTGTATAAAAAATATTTAAAAGAAAAAATACTGACGCTTAATACTTTTTTTCTGGAAGTTATTTTTTTACTGTGTTTTTAATTTTATTATGATGCTTATACAACTGTTTATGCGACTCGATTCCTTTTTTTATGGATAAGATTTATTATTTTTGCAAAAGACGAAATATTTTATTACTTTCTCAGGGAGAATTTGTTTATTTAAAATTTCTATTACTATTCTATCAAATGACAATTGTATCTATAGTGACTTTTCGATCAAATGACCATTCCAAACTTCGCACTCGACAATAATTAATTTTAAAAAAAGTATCAAAAAGTTTTAAACTAAAAAAGTAGTAAAAAAGTAGCTATCGAAAAATTAAATTTGACGACCAAAAAAAACTGTTTTTAGAAACTTAACTAAACTGACATATTCATGAAAGAATTTAAATATTTATAAAAATAATTTAATTTTTGCGAAGAATTTTATAAAAATTTTTAAATAATTCATTTCTTTCGACTAATTTTATGCAAATTCAAATTTAAATAAGGGGTCGTCCATAAACTACGTAACACTTCAAGGGGGAGGGGGGGTCAATCTATTTTCTACGTTAATTGGAAAAAATAGCGCTAGTGCATGTAAGGGGCCGTTTATAAATTACGTAACGCTTCAGGGGGTAGGGGGGAGTCAAGATATTTGTTACACTCATTATAAAAATGGCGCTAATGTACGTAAAAGTTTGTAACATGGGGGAGGTGGGGGTCTAAAATGACCAAAAAAAGCGTTACGTAATTTATGAATGGCCCCTAACAGCGTCTACGTGGGGGGAGAGGGGGGGTTAAATTTCCAAAAAATGGGTCTACGTAGTTTATGGACGGCCCCTAATAGTCAAGTAATCAATTATTAGAATCAAATAAATTTTCTGTTCATTATAACAGAATTAACTGAAAATGAAATTTTGAATTTGTTTCAGAGTTCGAGTTCGCCGCGACGAGTGGCGGTTCCGGTCCTAGTGAAGGACGGCAAGCCGTGCGGAAGCGGCGGCGGCAACGAGGGCAGCAGGGGCGGACCGTCTGCGGCGCTGGCGAGTCCCGCGCCCCACATGACCACGGCCTCCAGTCCCCATGGGACCCACCACGCGGCCTCAGTCGCTCACCACTCGGTCGTTGGCGTCAGTCACGTGATGAGCTCGAGTCAGAGTCTGCAGCATTGCTCCTACTCGAGGACTGCGGCCCAACAATCAATGCAGCAGCAACAGCAGCCACAGTGCAGCGCGTACCTACCACTCCAAGGTCGGGCCTGGTAGTGCGCGCCTTCCGCGGCGGGGGCGGCGGCCTACGCCAATCCCTCCGTCGCCGGCCCCTGGGCCCTCGCCGCGGATCCCACAGCGTGGTACGCCATTCCCGAAGACAGTCCGTGAAATCAGGCCTTTTACTGTACAGACTAAGGTGTCTTTTGTCCCCCCCACCCCTCGGCCCTTTGATAATAATAATAATAATTTACACGCACGTAACCAAACTCGAAGAAAATTTTTATTTTTGACAAAATATATGACTAAAACGTTTATTTTTAAATATAATATATTTATATTATATTTATATTCTATTTTTGGCAAAACTTTATCAAATGGTCCATAACTTCTTTAAGACAATGAGGCACTTTACACTGTGGAATCTGTTTTACCGACTGTAGATAAAATAAATTTATTTTTATCTACAGTCGGTAAAACAGATACCACAGTTTGAATCAGTATTAATTTCCTTGGTTTTCAGTGACATTTCAGCGAAAAATTTTACTCAAGTGCTTCACTCGCTAAATTCCATTTTTTTACCGGTGAAATTTCACTGATTCAATTTTAAAAAGTATAAATTGAAAATCGACTGTTTCGAACGTATAAGAATTTTTCTTTTGCGTTCAGGTCACATGTATACGTATTTTTAATCCTAATATATTTTTTTAAAGTAATTCAATTAATTTAAAAAAAGTATTTTTTAAAATTTATTATTTAAAAAAATGTATGCGGCCATTTGACAAAAGTTCTTCATAAAAATAAAATTTGAGTAATTTTTTGATCACGTGTATAATCACATCCCGGTGTTACTGTTTTAAGAAAAAATATATTTTTTTAGTTCTAATTGTTTAAGATTATTTTTTTCATAAAATTTTCTCAATACTTTTAAAAAAATTGTTTATTTTTTAATTTTTTTTTGTTACTTTTTTTGTAAAAATTTTAATTCTGAAGTATAATTGAATTGTAATAAATTGAATATTGAAAAGAATAATTTCTTTGCATCTGTATATAATATTTTATAAAATAAATTACAAAATAAATAAAACTTTTTTTGTTTTTTTTTCTAAATTTGTTTATAAATTCAAAAAGTAATTTAAGTGCTTTTAAGTGAAAAGAAGAAACGAATGAAATTCAGAAATCATACCCGTCCTAGAAAATAAATAATAATACAGAAATAAAAATAGATTTCATAAATGTCGTATAATTCAAAATACATTTGAAGTATTTTAAAATACACTGTCCATTTCTATATTTTGTATATAATAAATAAATAATATAGAATTTTGTCAAATTTCAAAAAAATTCACTAGACGAAATATATTTCATCAATAAATCTATGTAAATAAACGATTTTGACCAATTAATACGAATACGCTTAAACCCGTGTAGAAATCACCATGCTATGCCTAAAATGATTATTGGCCCTAGCTTGGACCTAACTTGGCAACCCCTTTTTATATATCCTGGGCTGGTCCTAACTTGGTACTAGCTAGGAGATCCAGTTATGACTTAGAAAAATTTTTAGGAAAATAAAGTGTCAAAATTGATACATGAAAAACATGTAAAAATTGATAAATATTCTCAATTAATATTTATAAAATTAATTGATAATCATATTTGTTTAAACAATTTATTGTTTGACATAAATCAGAAAATTATACAAATACTATAAAATAAAGTTAATTTATTAATTTATTAATTCAGCAATTGTTTAAACAAATAATTGTTATTTACTAACTTTTTACACAATCAACCTAGAAACTAGCAGTTTTTTCTAATTTTGCAATAAGTAAATACTCAGATTAGTTAATTGCAAAATTTTAAAAGACTACAAGTGTCTAGACGCTTTATTGTCTTAAGAATTAATAAATAACAACAATTTTTTGTTTAAACAAATGCTGAATTGTTAAAATTATAAATTATCTTCATATTTCACTACTCAAGTGTAATAATCGTGAAGTTAGATAAAAAACTGCAAATTTTTAAGTAATTTGTTACAAAAGTTAATAAAACAGCAAAATTTATTTATTTATTTAAACAGATACAGACTGCAATATAATTATCATTAGTAAAATATATTTCTAATTTCGTTCGCTGATTTTAAGTTTCGTTTAAGTTGGTGCTAAACACTAAGAGATATTGCAATTCGAATGTGGGCTGACCCACCCAGGTCCAACCCAGGACCTACCTGGGCTTCCTAGTTTCATTAGCAAAAATTTCTAAGTCCAAGTCTAAAAAAATTTTTGCAACAAAAAATTAATGCTTAAAATGATTTAGAATAATGAAAAACGTGTTTTTAACATAAATTTTTTTGACATTTTTTTAAAAAGTGGATCACCCGCTTAATTAATTAGGAAAAATTTCCAAGTCCAAAAGACGAATATTTTTTTTAGACCAAGAAATTAATGTTAAAAATGATTAAGAACAATGAAAAACCTGTTTTTAACGAAAATGTATAGATTTTTTTTTTCTTGATATAATATAAAAATATTAATTTTTGAATTTTTATATTTAGATATTATTTTATTATTATTGTTGTTGTTAAATTATTTTTTTTATTTATTATCGCGTATTAGTGTCAATAATTACTATATTGAATCATCAAAAGCAAGTCCACAAGTCACTGACAATACAAATTTTGAACTCAACTAGTTTCATTAGCATAGTGGTTAGGGCGTTAGTCTCGTAGTCCGTAGGTCGTAGGTTCGATTCCCGCGTGCGTTAGATTTTATTTACTTCTTAGGTTTGCGTTTATTCCGATTTTTCTGCATTGTATTCGTATAAGTATGCAATTTAATGATTATATATACTGTAAAATAATTTAATTAACAAATTTCTAATTTTTTTATAATTTTTAATATATATATTAGAGGAATATATATTAATCTCTACATATACTAACATTATTTATGAATTCGCTTTTGGTCATCATTTAATTGAAAAAAATAATAATTAATTAAAACTAATACTTATTATTAATAATTTAGGTTATTTCTTTAGCAAATATTATAAACTAATCAAAATTATAATAAAGTATATAAATAAACTGGTCATAACTAGGCTCCCAAGTTAGGACCAGGCTAGAATCGCATCACCAGCCATTGTTGGTCCAACCTACACTGCCAACCTAGGACCAAGCTATTAACAGGGCAAAATAGGTAGGACCTGGCTAGGACCAATTTTCATTTTCCACACGGGAAGTACACTTGAAATACACTTGAAATACTAAAAAACGTAGTTTCTTTTTATTTTTAAAAAAGTAATTTAAGTTTTTAAAAATTGTTTTCCTTTTTTGCAATTTTTACTAAAATGAAAATTATTTGAAAACTACTATTTTCGCTGTTAAATTCGATTCTTTTAATTACCACTCAAATTAAAATTGTCTAATTAATTTAAAAAATTTTTAATTAATTAAAAAGAAATTCGTTACATTTTTCTTCGAGTTTGGAAAAATCAATTTCGGTTTTGAATTTTGAAAAAAGAAAACGAACTTAACTTTCTTTTTAAATTCAAAGCAAAAATATAAAAAATTATATGCGAAATTCCGATTTTTTTATAAATAAATAAAACATCGTTCTAGTTTTTAGACAAAACAAATGTCAAGCTATAATTAAGGATTTTTTTTCATAAAAAAAATAGAAAAGAGAATTTATTTGAATTTATTTTGTTGAGAAGAACCAAGTTCATTTGTATGAAAATTATAAATTTGTACATTTTTTATATGCACGGAGAGACGCAGGGCATATAGTAAATTCTACTGTCATAACAGTAGAATATACTAAAACGTAAAACGTTAACTCAAAAACTGACTAAGCAGATAGTAGGTTTAAAATTTTATTTTTCTATATAAAATTATTCCAAAATTATTTTAATATTCTCTTTTAAGAATTAGTTAACAATAAATTGTTAATAAATGTTTTGGTTTCCTGTTCATTTCAACTATGTTAACAGTTTCAAAGTAAACATTAAAACATTAGTAAACATATGTTAAATAATTATTTATTTCTCAATAAAATTATGATTTTTAATAAAAATTTAATTTTGTAATGAAAATATCATGATTTTTAATAAAACTTTCATTGTTAATAAAAATATCATAACTTTTAGCAAAACTTTTAATAAAAATATCATGATTTTTTTTTAATAAAACATTCACTTTTAATAAAAATATCATGACTTTCAGTACAACTTTTCATAAAAATTTAATTTTTAATAAAAACATAATAATTTTAATAAAACTTTCATACTTTTATTAAAAATATCATATGCCTTTCAATAAAAAAAATAAAATTTTAGTAAGAAATGGTTCATTTTTAATATAAAAAACTTTTTTACAAAAGTAATGTTGTTACCAGAAATTTTAGCCATTTTAATAAATTTGTTTTTTAAACAAAAAAATTCATTTCACGAGCAAAATTATGTATGGAAATTTTTCGATTAAAAAAATTCCTTTTGTCCGTAAATATCTACATTTTCTAGAACCCTTGAAAGTTGGTCGCACTTCCGTTGGTGTGCGGCTATAGAGTTATGTTAATTTAAATTAACGGGAAACCATACACCACGATCTGTGACGTCAGTGTATATACATATAGAGAGAGAGAGAGAGGATTAATTTTGCAAAACGAACGTGAAACTCCAAGTGGCCACTGTGCATAGTAATTTAGTGACACTCGACCATTTATATAGTGCGAAACAGCGAACCATGTCTCTGTATATAAATGTATTACATTTTCCACCGCGACAGAAAAGCCACAACAACCGGCATTGTTCACGATTCACGGAGGGATAAATATATTTTTCCATTCTAAATTTAATTTTTTTTTATTAACTTCTATCAATTTCAACAATTACCTATTAACGAATTTTATTAAAGAAATTTTTTTTGTATTTTTTAAAAAATCTATACACTTTACTTTTTTTTAAAGGTATAAAATCAAAATAAAAGAAACAAAAGAGATTTTTGCTAAAAAATGATTTTTCGTTTTTCTAAGGATAAATTAAAAATTCGAAAACAAATTCAAGTATTTCATAAATATAAAAAATATATTTAATAAATAAAGGGGATCGTGAAATGCTGATTATTGGCTGTGATAAATATGAAATCACACGACAGATGTAAATAATTAATTGGTTAATTAATTAATTTTCGGCGCCGTTCATCTTCGTATATCAACGAATTTTTAATAATTCGATTTCGATACACATTACACGGTGTTACTATAAAAATGCGTATAACGTTAGCGAGATTGAGCAGCAGCAGCACCTCTAGCGCGTAATTATAATTAAAGAGAAAAAAAAACAATTAAAATAATTGATTATGATTGAAAAAAAGGTAATTAATAGTGAGTAGTGTGTGATGGTGAAAACAAAGATACAAGGATTATTAGAGATATTATTATTATTATAAAGTTTTGTAAATACCGAAAAAAGAGATATTAATAAAACAATACTTATGCAAATGTCATTCATGGACTTTTTATGACTCTCCATTTATTTTAGATTCGTTTGTTATTTTTTATCTTACTCTCTAAATTTTAATTAGTAAAAATATTTAATAATTTTAATTAATAATTTAATATTTAAAATGTTTATTTCAGTTAGTTCCAATAATTCTTTGTTCCAAAAGCCAAAAGTTCCAATCATTCTTATTTCCAATAAATATACCAAATGACATCCAACACTTTTTTCAAATTTATGAACTTTTTCGTGCTGTATTCCGTCATTTCTAAGAATTACCAGAAACAAAATGGCGGCGGACGAAGAAAACAGCTGATTCACTTGAAATTTTGTAATTCGTCTA